TTAAGAATAAGATGTGCGAATTATATGTGAAGCGAAAATTTTTTAAAAAATATGAAAAATGTATGTAAAAAATTTAATTTTTTTGCAGAAATTCTTGGGCGACAATTAAGTTTCTATTTAAAATCATTGGCGACAAGCAATTATTAGGAGATAATTATAAGCGACAAGTAATATTCTTTGGAGAAACATAGGCGACAAGTAAAAGTCTATTAAAAATCAAGAGATATATTACATTTTTTAAAGTAAATTGCAGATTTCTTAAGAAAATATGGGTGACAAGCACTTTGTTTAAGAAAATTAAGGGCGACAAAAACATATTTATGGAAAATCATTTGTAAAGAAAATTCATTTGCATGACTTATTTTCATAAGAAAATCATGAATGGTAAGAAATTATTTGAAATAAATTATGGGCGACAAACAAGTTTCTATCGAAAAACGATTCTTTGAGTCATTTTCTATTGAAAATTATGAGCGATAAGCAAATTTCTTAAGAAAATATAGAAAGTAAGCAAGTTTTTAATGAACATTATAGGCGACAATCAAATTTCTAGAGACAAAAGTAGGCGACAAGCAATTTTTTTGAAAAATTTTAAGCAACAAAGAAGTCTTTAAGGAAATTGGACGACGACAAGCTATTTTTTCGAAAAATTTTAAGCTACAAAGAAAACTCTAAGGAAATTTGTGGGCGACAAGTAATTCTATACATAAATTAAGGGATAAAACATCGTTTTTAACGCATATAGTGGTCCAATAATAATTTTTTATAACCAACTTTGGGCGACAATGCAGTTACTATAAAAATTGTGGGCGACAATCAAGTTTTCATAAAAAATTATGTGCGACTAAGCAGATTCAATTAAAATTCTAGGCGACATATCTGTTTCAACAAAAAATTGTGGGCGACAAAGCAGTTTCTATAGAAATTGTAGGTGACAAATTAGTTTTTAAAGGATAATATGGGCTACAAAGTAGTTTTTATAGAAATTTTGGGCAACAAATTAGTTTTCCAAGAAAATAATGGGCGGCAATAGAGTTTCTATAGAAATTATAGGCGACATATTAGATTTCACTGAAAATTTTGGACAACAAAGCAGTTTCTATAGCAAATGTAGGCGACAATTAAGTTTACAAAGGAAATTCTGGGCGTTAAGGTAGTTTCGATCGAAATAGTGGGCGACAAATAAGTTTTTAATGAAATTAATGGGCGACAATATAGTTGCTGTAGAAATTGTAAGCGACAAATTAGATTCTACGAACATTTCAGGCGACAAATAAGTTTTTAAAGAAATTAATGGGCGACAATATAGTTTCTATAGAAATTGTAGGCGACATATTAGATTTCAGTGAAAAGTTTGGGCGACAAAACAATTTCGACGGAAACTATAGGCGACAAATTAGTTTACAAAGGAAATTCTGAGCGACAAGGTAGTTTCGATCGAAATAGTGGGCGACAAATAACTTTCCAAACAAAATTGTGGGCGACAATTTTTAAATTTTCAACTTTTTTCTTCACATTTCCTAATTAGAGTTCTCACCCTCGAAAAAGAATGTAGAACAATATGTTTGTTGTTTTTTTAATCCTGCAGCTGATGATGATCCTAACCCTCATCATTGATTTCCTGATTATTTTTACTTGTTTGTTTTTGCAGTTTTTTTCTATTTGCACTAACTAGAAATAAACACGTAATAGTAGTTCCTAGTTGTTGCTTTTGTACTTTTTTTGCTCGCATCACGTTTGTTTAGTAAGTACAACGAGAATTAATTAAAACAAAAAAAAAAAAATAGAAAAATTTTCTAACATTTGAAAAACCTCAACCACCTTTTAACCTTGTAACATGCACAACAAATTTTGGTTTCCTTTATGGGATTCAAACACGACGACTACAACGCGCAGCCAACACACAATTGTGACTACGACGACGTATACTTGATATTGTTCTCATTCTACTTCCAACATGCAATTGTCGAAGCCAATAACAACAAAAAAAAAAAAAAAAAAAAATAAAAATCTAACATTATTCTTTACTATTGAGGTGAAATTAAAACAAAACAAACCTAACGTTAAACAAACGGCAAAGGTAAGCAGCACAGGACAAGAGGGAGGGAGCGTTAATGCAAGATTGGTAGCCATATTTGCTTTAAAGCAAAAACCACACACACAGCACAGCACACAATCATACATTTAACATTAGTAACAACAACGAAATGATGATGATCATTTCAGCAACAACATGAAAGGTGATGATGTTGATAATGGTTTTTACAAATGGATTTTTTTTAGCAAACAGTCAAACAACAATAGAAACGAACAATTTTTATTGTTGTTTCCAAATACACAAGGTTACTTAAAGGTAATGTTATTTGTTTGTGCTATAATTTTGGTCGTTATTGTTTTTTATTTTTTTTTTGTTGACTCTAGTGGCATTCAGCTGATGATGATGATGGTTATTGGAGTTGAAATGGTGGAATGCAGTGCGGAAATATGTATGCAGATTTGCCAAACATGTTAGAACCACAAAAGGCAATAGAAAAAGAAAAAAAAATGGAACAATGGGGCAGAAATGTCGAAAAACAGAAAAAAATGTAAACGGAACTTAAATCAGACTAGACTAGACTATAGACTAGACTATAGACTAGACTATAGACTAGACTATACTAGACTAGACTAGACTATAGACTAGACTATAGACTAGACTATAGACTAGACTATAGACTAGACTATAGACTAGACTATAGACTAGACTATAGACTAGACTATAGACTAGACTATAGACTAGACTATAGACTAGACTATAGACTAGACTATAGACTAGACTATAGACTAGACTATAGACTAACTATAGACTAGACAATAGACTAGACTATAGACTAGACTATAGACTAGACTATAGACTAGACTATAGACTAGACTATAGACTAGACTATAGACTAGACTATGACTAGACTCTAGACTAGACTATAGACTAGACTATAGACTACTAGACTATAGATTAGACTATAGACTAGACTATAGACTAGACTATAGACTAGACTATAGACTAGACTATAGACTAGACTATAGACTAGACTATAGACTAGACTATAGACTAGACTATAGACTAGACTATAGACTAGACTATAGACTAGACTATAGACTAGACTATAGACTAGACTATAGACTAGACTATAGACTAGACTATAGACTAGACTATATGCAAGACTAAAGATTAGAACAGAAGTAGAAGAGAACTAGAACAGAACTAGAACAGAACTAGAACAGAACTAGAACAGAACTAAACAGAACTAGAACAGAACTAGAATAGAACTAGAACAGAACTAGAACAGAACTAGAACTAGAACACAACTAGAACAGAACTAGAACAAAACTAGAACAGAACTAGAACAGAACTAGAACAACTAGAACTAGAACAGAACTAGAACAGAACTAGAACAGAACTACAACAGAACTAGAACAGAACTAGAACAGAACTAGAACAGAACAGAACTAGAACAGAACAGAACTAGAACAGAACTAGAACAGAACTAGAACAGAACTAGAACAGAACTAGAACAGAACTAGAACAGAACTAGAACAGAACTAGAACAGAACTAGAAAAGAACTAGAACAGAACTAGAACAGAACTAGAACAGAACTAGAACAGAACTAGAACAACTAGAACAGAACTAGAACAGAACTAGAACAGAACTAGAACAGAACTAGAACAGAACTAGAACAGAACTAGAACAGAACTAGAACAGAACTAGAACAGAACTAGAACAGAACTAGAACAAACTAGAACAGAACTAGAACAGAACTAGAACAGAACTAGAACAGAACTAGAACAGAACTAGAACAGAACTAGAACAGAACTAGAACAGAACTAGAACAGAACTAGAACAGAACTAGAACACAACTAGAACAGAACTAGAACAGAACTAGAACAGAACTAGAACAAAACTAGAACAGAACTAGAACAGAACTAGAACAGAACTAGAACGAACTAGAACAGAACTAGAACAGAACTAGAACAGAACTAGAACAGAACTAGAACAGAACTAGAACAGAACTAGAACAGAACTAGAACAGAACTAGAACAGAACTAGAACAGAACTAGAACAGAACTAGAACAGAACTAGAACAGAACTAGAACAGAACTAGAACAGAACTAGAACAGAACTAGAACAGAACTAGAACAGAACTAGAACAGAACTAGAACAGAACTAGAACAGAACTAGAACAGAACTAGAACAGAACTAGAACAGAACTAGAACAGAACTAGAACAAACTAGAACAGAACTAGAACAGAACTAGAACAGAACTAGAACAGAACTAGAACAGAACTAGAACAGAACTAGAACAGAACTAGAACAGAACTAGAACAGAACTAGAACAGAACTAGAACAGAACTAGAACAGAACTAGAACAGAACTAGAACAGAACTAGAACAGAACTAGAACAGAACTAGAACAGAACTAGAACAGAACTAGAACAGAACTAAAACAGAACTAGAACAGAACTAGAACAGAACTAGAACAGAACTAGAACAGAACTAGAACAGAACTAGAACAGAACTAGAACAGAACTAGAACAGAACTAGAACAGAACTAGTCTATGTCTTAATTAGTTCTGAAATAGGTTTGAACTAGTTAAGAATTAATATAGGATTATTAGATTATATAGTCCTACTAGCCCACTGTGCCCCGCCTTAAAACAAAACCCAACCGCAAATTTTCAATTCATTTTGTTTTTCTCGTTTTGGTTTTAGTGTCTCCTTGTGCATTTGCCATCTAAAAGGAATCTTGTTTGATAATGGCCTTTGTGGTTTTTCACAAAAATTCAAATACGAGAGAAAGGAATTTAAATAAAATTGAATTTTTTTGTCCCCATAGATATAACAGAACAATGACAAGTAAACAGGAAATGAAATAAACATTATGGCAAAAAAAACACACATTTAAAATTAAACATTTAATTAAAAACTTAAGGAGGCAAGGAAATAGAATCGAACAGGCACTTACCAATATTAACAATACCATGATTGGTTAATTCCCAACATGATTGTAAGCGTAATATACTTAAACTATGACTTTGTTTGGGTGAAAAATAGCCCAAAGCAGCATCGGTAACATGATAAGCCTAAAATGAGAGAGAGAGAAGAAGGTGAGAAGAGTAAGAGGGTAAAGGGAAATAAATATTTAAAGCAGACAGTGAGTGCGTTTAAACAACTTACTTGTAATGAAAATTCATATAATGAGGGCAACAATTGTGCCACCGCGCCCACAGCCTCATCAGCAATATTTATACAATCAGCCAGCGATAATGAAACAATGCGTGGTGTTAAACATGCCCAAAGGCCAGCTTCGGTGACCTCATTACAACCAGCCAGTTCCAATTCAAAAAGACTCTAAAATGAGATGTGAAAAAGACAGAGAAAAGAAAATTAAAATAATTTTAATGGAAAATTATTAAAGTGTAATTATCTTGAAAAGAGACCCACAAAAAAACAGAGGTTCCTTTCAACACAAATTGCGTCGTAACATAATTAAAGACTACGGTAAATAAGGTTCCCAAAATACTACAAATTTCCCCATAGAAAAGGTAATGAGTTGTTTTTTTTTTATTTTAACTAAAAATAAACTCAATTGCAGTCTCATTAAAAGGATGAGGAAGTAAAAGAAAACTGAAATGTTTTTAGAACAATAACAATTATTTTCAAACAAAAGATTTTTTCTTTAGAACAGAGAAGTTTCCCTCAAAGTTTAAGACATAATATTTTCAACAAAATTTTCTTTTAAAACAAAAAAATTTAAATTTTCTACTAATCTCTCTAAGAAATTCTTTAAATTCTATCACCTTCATAGCCGCCAACGTAATCGATCAAAAATAGTCTCCATAAAGTGTGCTTAAAATAGCTCAACACCATTGATTGACAACAGATGAAATGTTCTTTTTTAATCATAAAATACACTAAATAAATATTCATTCTTTCTTTCCATCTTTTTGTTTGTGTTGCTCTTATGGGCTGACAATAGCCATAACCTATCCCATAATGTATGGCCATTAACACAAGTATTAAGACAACGTGTGTATGGTGGGAGCTACATGGAAATTATAGGAAATAGTTGAACGTTGAAATGATATGTAACAAAGCTAAAGACAGGTACGTATATAGGCCTGACTAACGACTGGCCTATAGGCACGACTATAGTCTCGACTATAGACCGGATTATAGTCTCGACTATAGACCGGACTATAGTCTCGACTATAGACCGGACTATGGTCTCGACTATAGACCGGACTATAGTCTCGACTATAGACCGGACTATAGTCTCGACTGTAAACTGGACTATAGTATCGACTGTAGACTTGACTATAGTCTCGACTATAGACTGGACCTTAATCTCGACTATAAGAAAGACTATAGACTGGACCATAGTGAATTTAGTCTCGATTATAGACTGGACTATAGTCTCGACCATAAACTGAACTATTCTATAAAGACTGGACTTTAGTCAATAATCTTTATATATACACTGTAATCTCTACTATTGACTAGACTATAGTCTGGACTATAGAATAGACTATAGTCTCTACTATAGACTGGACTATAGTCTCCACTATAGACTGGACTATAGACTGGACTATAGTCTCCACTATATTGACTGAACTATAGTCTCTACTATAGGCTGGACTATAGTCACTACTATAGACTGGAATAGAGTCTTGACTATAGACTGAACTATAGTCTTGAATATAGACTGAACTATAATCTCGCATATAGACTGAACTATAGTCTCGACTACAGACTGGACTAAAGTATCGCCTATAAGTTGGACTATAGACTTGACTATAGTCTCTACCATAGACTAGACTGTAGACTGGACAATGGACTACACTGTAGACTAAACTATAGACTGGACTAAAGTCCCGACTATATACTACAGTCTCTACTATTTACTAAACTAGAACATAGAATATACTATAGTCTCGTCAATCTACTGGACTATAGTCTCGATTATAGACTGGACTGTAATCTCGACTATTGACCTGACTATAGTCTCTAGTATAGACTAGACTGTAGACTGGACCATCGCCTCGATTATAGACTAGACTGTAGACTGGACTATAGATTCGACTATAGACTGGACTATAATCTCGACTATAGACTGGACTATAATCTCGACTATACAGGACAGTAATCTAAACCATTAACTGGACTATAACCTAGGCTATAAGGTAGACCATAGACTTGACTATAGTCTCGACTGTAGACTGGACTAGATCATAGTGTCGCCCATAGACTTAACTAAGGTCTCGGCTATAGACTTGACTAAAGTCTCGACTATAGATTGGACAATAGAATTGACTACAGTCTCTTGTCCATAGTCTAGTCTATAGTCTAGTCTATAGTCTAGTCTATAGTCTAGTCTAGTCTATAGTCTAGTCTAGTCTAGTCTAGTCTAGTCTAGTCTAGTCTAGTCTAGTCTATAGTCTAGTCTATAGTCTAGTCTATAGTCTAGTCTATAGTCTAGTCTATAGTCTAGTCTATAGTCTAGTCTATAGTCTAGTCTATAGTCTAGTCTATAGTCTAGTCTATAGTCTAGTCTATAGTCTAGTCTATAGTCTAGTCTATAGTCTAGTCTATAGTCTAGTCTATAGTCTAGTCTATAGTCTAGTCTAGTCTATAGTCTAGTCTATAGTCTAGTCTATAGTCTAGTCTATAGTCTAGTCTATAGTCTAGTCTATAGTCTAGTCTATAGTCTAGTCTATAGTCTAGTCTATAGTCTAGTCTATAGTCTAGTCTATAGTCTAGTCTATAGTCTGGTCTATAGTCTAGTCTATAGTCTAGTCTATAGTTTAGTCTTTAGTCTAGTCTATAGTCTAGTCTATAGTCTAGCCTATAGTCTAGTCTATAGTCTAGTCTATAGTCTAGTCTATAGTCTAGTCTATAGTTAGTCTAGTCTAATAGTCTAGTCTATAGTCTAGTCTATAGTCTAGTCTATAGTCTAGTCTATAGTCTAGTCAATAGTCTAGTCTATAGTCTAGTCTATAGTCTAGTCTATAGTCTAGTCTATAGTCTAGTCTATAGTCTAGTCTAGTCTAGTCTAGTCTAGTCTATAGTCTAGTCTATAGTCTAGTCTATAGTCTAGTCAATAGTCTAGTCTATAGTCTAGTCTACAGTCTAGTCTATAGTCTAGTCTATAGTCTAGTCTATAGTGTAGTCTATAGTCTAGTCTATAGTCTTGTCTATTTTCTAGTTTCTTATCTTATAGCTTTTCCATTTTTATATCTCTTTTCAAAAACTAAAATTTGTCATCCGTTCTTTTGATGTTGTTTCAAATTTTATTTGTTTATTTAAAGAATTTTTATTTTAAATAATTTTTTTTTTTTCACAAGATTTATGTAAATTATTTTATCATTTAACATTTAAATTTTATTTGTTTATTATTTTTATTAATCTCAAATTATTATTTTAAAAGTGTGTGTTGATTAATGTTTGTTATTATAATAAAAATATTTTTCGTCTTTTTTTCGATTTTAATAATTAGAAAGAAATTTGGAGGAGAATGAAAACAACATTTTGTAAAAATAATTTTTCATTTTAAAGAAATTCCTAACAATGATGAGTGAGTGAGTGAGTGAGCGGGCTGGCGGCCTTGTGTTTAAAAATGAATTGTTGTTAAATTTAGAATTTCTTTTTTTTTAATAAAAATTATGAAATAAATATTTCTGTTGGGGGGAAATAAGTGTTGTCAAGATAAATGGACAGGTGAAAACAAAAGTAGGTGATGATATTTATTTTGAAGAATCCCATTTTGTTAAAAGATTTGGGGTGTTCAACCATGATGTTTCCCAAAAGGTATTATTTCTAGTTATTTAAAATCTACATGATTTGTCGACATGAATATAAAAAAATTATTTTAATTTTCAAAATATTTCCGTTACAACAATTAGCTTTTTGTTTCTTTCCCTTTTCAAATGCACATTTCCTTTTTTTAAGTTTTATGTAAATTTAATTTTAATTTGTTTGTAAAATACAGCAACAGCAAAACTAGAAAATATCACAAATAAATTTAACAAGAAAAGCACGAAATCCTGTACAAATAACTAAGTATTCAGGGTAAAATAAGAGGGGAAAGAATTTCAATAGCAATTTGCTGAAATTTTTTTTTATTTGGAATACAATAGAAAAACAATACAAGAAATTACCATACAAATGATGTATAAACAAATAATTCTACTTAATATTCTATAAATATACTTTTTTTGTGTGTATTCATACTTATTACTCAAATACCCAAATCAAAATAACAAACAAATCAAAAATCAAAAAATAAAAATAACGAATTTTTCTGCAAAATCATTTCATGCTAAAATCAAAGTATCAAATTAGGGGCAAATTGTAACAAAAACATTCTTATATAAGGAAAAGGAGCAAGGAAAATATGACAAATAAACTATATAGTATTTTATTGCTTTAGTTGCAGATTATATAAAATTTATGGTATAGTTAACTTTTAAGCCTTTTGCTGTTCTAGTTCTATTCTAATTTTGTTCTAGTTCTGTTCTAGTTCTGTTCTAGTTCTGTTCTAGTTCTGTTTCTGTTCTAGTTCTGTTCTAGTTCTGTTCTAGTTCTGTTCTAGTTCTGTTCTAGTTCTGTTCTAGTTCTGTTCTAGTTCTGTTCTAGTTCTGTTCTAGTTCTGTTCTAGTTCTGTTCTAGTTCTGTTCTAGTTCTGTTCTAGTTCTGTTCTAGTTCTGTTCTAGTTCTGTTCTAGTTCTGTTCTAGTTCTGTTCTAGTTCTGTTCTAGTTCTGTTCTAGTTCTGTTCTAGTTCTGTTCTAGTTCTGTTCTAGTTCTGTTCTAGTTCTGTTCTAGTTCTGTTCTAGTTCTGTTCTAGTTCTGTTCTAGTTCTGTTCTAGTTCTGTTCTAGTTCTGTTCTAGTTCTGTGTCTAGTTCTGTTCTAGTTCTGTTCTAGTTCTGTTCTAGTTTGTTCTAGTTCTGTTCTAGTTCTGTTCTAGTTCTGTTCTAGTTCTTGTTCTAGTTCTGTTCTAGTTCTGTTCTAGTTCTGTTCTAGTTCTGTTCTAGTTCTGTTCTAGTTCTGTTCTAGTTCTGTTCTAGTTCTGTTCTAGTTCTGTTCTAGTTCTGTTCTAGTTCTGTTTCTAGTTCTGTTCTAGTTCTGTTCTAGTTCTGTTCTAGTTCTGTTCTAGTTCTGTTCTAGTTCTGTTCTAGTTCTGTTCTAGTTCTGTTCTAGTTCTGTTCTAGTTCTTCTAGTCTGTTCTAGTTCTGTTCTAGTTCTGTTCTAGTTCTGTTCTAGTTCTGTTCTAGTTCTGTTCTAGTTCTGTTCTAGTTCTGTTCTAGTTCTGTTCTAGTTCTGTTCTAGTTCTGTTCTAGTTCTGTTCTAGTT